AGGCGGGTGGATCACAAGGTAAGAGATCGAGACCATCCTGGTCAACAAGGTGAAACCCCGTCTCTACTAAAAGTACCAAAAATTAGCTGGGCATGGTGGCGCGTGCCTGTAATCCCAGCTACTCAGGAGGCTGAGGCAGGAGAATTGCCTGAACCCAGGAGGCGGAGGTTGCGGTGAGCCGAGATCGCGCCATTGCACTCCAGCCTGGGTAACAAGAGCGAAACTCCGTCTCAAAAAAAAAAAAAAAAAAAAAATATCACTGTATCCAGGTACCATAAGGACCATAAAATTATGGACAATCTGGGCAAGCTTTTAGAAGAAGGAAGTAGGCTGGGGTAAGTTCCAAATAAAAAGTCCTTTTGCTGGGCGTGGTGGCTCACGCCTGTAATCCCAGCACTTGGGGAGGCCAAGATGGGCAGATTGCCTGAGATCAGGAGTTCAAGACCCGTCTGGCCCACATGGTGAAACCTCATCTCTACTGAAAATACAAAAAAATTAGCCAGACATGGTGGCGTGTACCTGTAATTCCCACTACTCGGGAGGCTGCGCCAGGGGAATGGCTTGAACCAGGGAGGTAGAGGTTGCAGTGAGCCAAGATCGTGCCACTGCACTCCTGCCTGGGCAACAGAGCGAGACTGTCTCCAAAACAAAAGTCCTTTCACTGGAGGGTTTTCGAGGTGATCCTGGTCCAGGTACCTAAGGAATCTGTGAACCTGGCTAAAATATTTCTCCCTAAACTCATAACCTGTTCCTATAATCCTCAACTAACTCTTGACAGATTCAGAGCTGGCAAGTCTGCAAGCATAGCTGGCCTTTTTTTGCCCAGGCTGGAGTGCAGTGGCATGATCTTGGCTCACTGCAACCTCAACCTCCCAGGTTCAAGTGATTCTCCTGCCTCAGCCTCCCAAGTAGAGTAGCTGGGATTACAGGTGCCTGCCACCACATCCGGCTAATTTTTATATTTTTAGTAGAGACAGGTTTCGCCATGTTGGCCAGGCTGGTCTCACTCCTGACCTCAGGTGATCCAGCCCATCTCAGCCTCCCAAAATGCTGGGATTACAGGCGTGAGTCACCGCACCCGGCCATAGCTGGCCTTTTAAGAACATCCTGACTTTCTAAAATTATGGAATAGTAGACCAAGGAGATATGCTATGTGGTTATCTAATCGTGACCCTCATTTTAAAGGTTAGTAAATTTGTCTTGTTCGAGGACCATAATAAAGACTATTAAAAGCAGGACTGGTCCAGTGGCTCACACATGTAATCCCAGCACTTTGAGAGGCCAAGGTAGGAAGATCGCTTGAGACCAGCCTGGGCAACATAGCGAAATTTCATCTCTATAAATTTATTTATTAGCTGGGTGTGCTGGTGCATGCCATGGTCCCAGCTACTCAGGAGGCTGAGGCAGGAAGATCACTTAAGCCCAGGAGTTCAGGGTGACAGTGAGCCATATTATGCCACTGCATTCCAGTCTGAGCAACAGAGCGAGATACTGTCTCAAAAATAAATCAACCAACCAACCAACCAAACAAGGTTGTTAAAAACAAATTAGAGGCCTCCTGATTTCTAGGGCAATATCGTCTTCACTGTACCACACTTAAGAAAAAACAGCTTACTAGAGAAAGCTCCTTTTGAGAACTTGAAAACTAATAAAAATCAGTAACAACAAAAATTTAGAAGATAGGCTCTGCCTGAAGGCTCCCCAGCACGCTTTTCAGAGCTTCATACAGTTTTTCTGATATTAGGTGATCAAAAATACTAATAGAAATGCAGGCCGGGCACAGTGGCTCACGCCTGAAATCCCAGCACTTTGGGAGGCTGAAGCAGGTGGATTACCTGAGGTCAGGAGTTTGAGACCTGCCTGACCAACATGGAGAAACCCCGTCTCTACTAAAACTACAAAATTCGCCAGGCATAGTGATGCAACCCTTAATCCCAGCTACTCGGGAAGCTGAGGCAGGAGAATTGCTTCAACCCAGGAGGCAGAGGTTCCAGCGAGCAGAGATCGCACCATTGCACTGCAGCCACCTGGGCAACAAGAGTAAAACTCTGTCTCAAAAAAAAAAAAAAAAAAAAA